AAACTTGTCATTATTAATAGACTAAATTCAGAACAGGGTGTACCAGACCTCCTTCTGCAGGTATGCTGCTACTACTTTTTTATTTGGAGTAATAGTTGAAACCAATTTGAATATCATGCTTTTTGTTTTTACTCTCAGCCTAATTCTCACTGCATCCTAATAGGCCAAGAAGTCATGGTATGTGTAATGAACAACTTCTACATTTGTCAAATACATGTAAAAATTGATGGGAATAAACAGAGAAATCTGCACTAAAACCAAGAACTTGCTGTAATTGACGTAGCTCCATCTGCCTATTTCATCATGTCTATATGACTCCTTTTTCTGGAATAATTCCTGAACTTACTTGGGCTTTTATAAAGGAGAGAGAGAAATATGATTTGCAAGTGCAGAAAACCACTTCAGTGATTCCTGATCATTTTAGGTGCATTGTCTTTATTGCAGGGATGAATTTTCCTCCCCTAAGCTTCCCAAATGCTAGGAAGTGAAATTTGACATATCATGGAGAACAACATCTGAAGCAAATTATCCCTTTAACACTCTATCAAAATCCCATAGACCATCATGAGATGTAAATGCTACTAGAGTAGCATGTTTGAAGCTGGGATGAAAGTCCATTTTGCTCCTGTTGATAATGAGTTCTGCCATTTCCCTTCTCCCAATCTTGGGAAGAAAACCAAAACCAAAACCAAAACCAAACCAAACCAAACCAAACCAAACCAAAACAACAACAACAAACCTATATTTGAAACAGCTAGGACCAGAATCTACATTCAAACACACTGGTGCCACCCCATTAAATTCCAGCAGTGGCACCACTGGTAGACAAAGAATGGCACTCAGATTTTCCACCATTAAGTAATCTATTTTCATTACTTTCTCAGCAGTATGTTTCATTTGCCTGCAGTAAGGAAACTAAAATTAGAAAACATTTCATGTTCATAGTTAGTTTGCATCTAATGTGATAAAAAACAAGTCTATAAATTTGTCTATTGGGTTATGCCTTGCGCAGTTCTACTAAAAAAAAAGTTGTCTTTACATTATAGTGATGAACTGTAAATGGCATAGTGCATTATTTTGTCCAAAGTAATTCAAATTAATGACCCTAGAAATATTATTTGAGGTGTCTATGTTATAAAACACTGCCAATAGCTGTGAATATTACCAACAGAATTTCTATTCTCCTTTGTAATATATGTATTGCCATGTGTTAATGAACTATTTTCTTACCATCTTCAGAACTTGCTGTCTCTTGCAAGAGTCCCACATGTCAGTCTTTTATCAGTTCTAGTAGGAAATTAATGTCAGGTAAATGCTGATAGCAAACTATAAAAAAATTTAATGCATTGTTCTTGCCTTGACGTGCACACTTTAGTTCTCATTTCACATTACTGATTCTCATGGAATAGAAATACAGAAACCAGAAATTTTCTGAACAGAAAATAGAAAAAAAAATTCAACCAAGTCAAAATGTGGTGATCTCATAGGCTCTTCAGCTTCTAACTGTGAAAATAACATTTGTTTGGAGTCTAAAAGTTACTTTTTGTTTCATTTATATGAAATGTGTGAAAATAATAAGAAAAAATGTATAAATACTTTCCTGGTTTAGATAAAATTACTCCAATTGCTAAAAATAGATTTGCATCTCAATAATGGTAGAGGTGTCTATTGTCTTGCATTGTATTGGCTTATGTCATTCTTACTAAGAAAGTATTAAGTCTTACCAACCACAGATAATAATATTTTGAAATTATTTTTAAAAAATCCCAGAGTCCATCCAAGCTGGATGGCACCGGAATTAACATACATTTAGGAAATGTGACATCATTGTAGTATCCAGAGACATTCTTTAAGAAGCTTAAAGACTAGAGGAGATGAAACTGTGTGAGCTTCATAGGAGTTTCTCATGAGTGAATAGTGATGCCAAGACCACTTTGAAAGAAAAGTGAATGAATGGCTCATGAAATCATGAAAGCATGAAGTCAACCAACTTCTGGATTTCAAAAGTGAGGGCTGAAGAGTAAGCTTTTTGATTTAGTGATATTAAAAAACTACTGTGACCAAGATACAAGTGAACACAATTTTTGGAGTTCTCATAGATCTGCTGCGCTTCAGTTCTGACCCCAAGAAAAGGTTTTCTAGCTTATAGAGTTGCTTTCACAGTAAGGCTGGCCAATGAACAGAAACAATAACTTTGTGCACACTTGTTTCAAGACCTCATTTTTGGTTTTAAGTACCCTTTTAAAATTCCTGTATTAACTTTTCAGCCTTTCTTTCTGATGAAGTATTATAGTCCAATAAGCATTAAACATATATTTGCTTAGTTTTAAAGGTCATTCAATAGTCACACACCAAACTATCTTTAAAGGTAGAGCAAAGCATGAAAACATCTCTCAAATGTATTTTCTCAGGTCACATCTAGCTAGAAATCTTATGCAAAATTAAACTTTTTTTTCAATGTCAGGCACACCCATACAATTTCTTAGAGGCAGTTAGATATTTTATACTCATAAGGAACTCCCCTTACCGTAGGCAAAAAACATAATTCCTACATGCTGGCTATACTAAAAATACAACCAAAGGAAACACATTACAACGTGCTGCACGGAGCATGTGTTCATGTGCAAATACTATGGAAACCTGCATTTCTTACTAACCTAGGTGGGCAGAATTTATTTCAGATTTTCTCACTCTGCTGTGTATCAGGATAAATAACAGGCGTAGAATCTGTTAACAGAAATCTGGTAGTGGCAGGGTCAATGCTGCATTGTAAGAATAACAGTCAAATCTTGTGTATGTGGCTCAGTATTAACAAGGCTTGCACACCAGGCCTATGCCAATCATTGCACAAAAATCTGTCTCAAACTGGAATGTAGCTGCTGTGTCCATCCTAGTCAACATGTAAGAGAGTAGAATATTGCCCTCTTTCAGATAACAAGTGACATCTGCTCAAGCAAAATTACATGCCATGGTGTTAATGAAGGACCTCAGTTTTCCTTTTAATTATGGGAATTTGTTATTTCATGAAATTTAACAGCCAAAGATGAATATTAGAATTTAGAATTCTAAAAACACAAACTGCAGCTGTCTTCAGTGAATACCATCTTCGCCTTCACTAAGAAGGAAAAGGTAGATGGCTTAAAGACTTCAAGGTAGAAGCTTTAAAACAATTAGTTGAGTATTTTAATACAGATAGAATATTGCCAAGCTATGAAAATGGTTCTTTCAGCAAAGGTCTGTTACAAAAATGTGAATAAATGTGCTGGATACTGATAGCACACTACCAAGCAGTTACAAACTAGGGCCAAGAACATACTCTGGTTTTATATTGAATAAATTGTTTTGCTGTCCTAGAAGGAAAACACACAGTGGAAAATGGTAAACAGGAATTTAAGGCCTTGCAGGACTGGAATTTTAAGGGAAAACAAAGAGGAGCTAAGAACTAAGTGCACAAGAAAAGACAATTGAATTAATTGCCTTTTTGTCTTCTAGTCAATTCGTATTTAAAGCATTAAATAGCTCAAGGGCTTATTATTTAATTGCCTTTATTAAGAAAAATGTGACTTAAAACCCTTTTCAACTGTGAACAAAGGGAACACGCTTGTCTCACTTTACTAAGAACCAAGTTTACTTCCTGGGTATTGGTCTGTCTTAATGTCTTGAGAAATTATTTTTATTTGGAGACTGTGGTAATTGCAGTAAAATCCAGGACTACTAACTAGGAAGTTACACGAACACTTCCCATTTTGACACGTGACATATTTTTAAAACTGAAGAACGAAGTGTTGCAACTGAATGATCAGGTTCCTAAAAATATTTGGATTCAGATAGCAACCACAGTCCCTAAGGATGCTTACAGATTTGCCCACTGTTGTAAACATCATCTGTCATAGGCTCCTCTTTCTTCTCCAGACTTCATGAGAGCTTCTCAAATAAGCAAGTGAAAACTGCAAGTAAAAACTGCAAGTAAACCCAAGTAAATTTTGGTATATAATGAAAAGATAATCTGAACTGCTACCAAATTAACCAGATTCAATTGATCTGCAAGGTTTTTCAATATAAAATAGGAAGTCTTTGCAAATATGTTATTTTGTAGTCAATTACCACAGGACAGTTTTCTCTGCTGTTAAAAGCTGTTGCTGCTCAGTTTCTTTGAATCTACCCACAGCACCCATGGTTATTTACTCAAGAGTCCACTTCAAGTGGACTGAAATGCATCAAGATAGGAACAGCTGTATTCTGTCAGCCCAGAATTATATGCCTTATCCAGAAAAATATCAATGTTTACAGAAAAGCACAAAGAAAAACCTACCATCAGTTACAGATTTGCACATACTTTGTCTTCCCATGGCAAGACTCAGCCAAGTACTTAAGTATGAGAATTTGCCCTTGTTGAGATATTTTTGTTCTTATATGAAAATCTAACTACTTCTCAAATCCTGTACCCTGTTCTGCTGTGTGCTTCCCCTCCTTAACAGCATAATCCACAAGAAATCTTGAACATGATCCCAGAATTTTATTTTTTAAATATTTAAGATTGTCTTCTTTTTTATCAACAAATGGTTTATGATTTAAAAAAATAAAAAAAGAAATTAAAGCTTTTGCATAGAACTTGGCTTTTTCTTTTTTCCCCTTCCCTCCAGCAACATATGGCAACATCTGTTGCCTCCCTGCTGGTCAATGACATCTCAGTGTTGACTTGTCTGTTACCAAAGCTTATTAAAATTGGCAAGTAGAAAAATTCAGGTTCCATTAAAAAAAAATAATTATACACACACATAATAAATTACATGCTTTCAGGTTCTTGCAGTTTGCTATACTACATGAATATTAAATTATTTCTCTAAAGTCAACAGACTAAGTATAAAAGCCCATCAAGATAACTTGGCTTTCTGCTGAAGGAAACATTAATTGGCTTTTGCTTACTATTTGACTGACCATATAGCAAACCATCAGTAGGATATTCTCATTTTGCAAAATTAAAAAGCAGACACTTCAAGTTTCAGACATTTATTAAGCCTCATCAAACCATTTTCAAACACATGACCAAGTGCAGCACGAGGCAAGTTTAATTTTTTCCTGGATGATTAAACATGACAATTGTGCGGACGGCTTCTGGAAGACCTTTCTGCGCAGCTTATGGAGATGAGTGTGTTGTTCAGAAGTCAGGACGGTCCTTTTTCAGTCTACTGTAGTCTACGTTAACTGAGTAGAACTAGGAAAGGGAGGGAAAAGAAGGTTGATTATCCATTTTCCATGTTATTTACTTAAAAACATGCATCATTTGAACTCACATCAGGAAACTGAAATCATAGTTCAAATCTGAGTGCTAGACAATAATAGACTTTGAAGAGCAGCAATTCTCAATATTCATTCTGCTTGCAGTACTAAGGGAACTAGAAGAAACCCACAGTACCTCTTCTTTCATCTCCTGAATTTTAAGTCCATTCACAGGAGTTCTTACAGTACTGCCGAATTTATCCTTTCTGCCCACAATCTATGTGCTCCTGCATATCGAAGGATTGCCAAGTGGCACAAAGCAAGGTATATGTGAACAGACTGTGTCACAAGGGAACATTTAGAGCAGTGCTGCAAAAGCCAAGTTTGGCTTAAATATGCATTTAGAACTGCCAGGTTTGACAAGAAGAAAGGAAAGTAAGCACAGATCCTTTCACTCTCAGCTTATGTTCAAGTCAGATCCCATTAGAAGCAATTCAAAACAGCCTAAATAATTACTGAGGACAACAAATTTATAGATTAAAACCACAGTTTTGCATCTCAGCCTGACTTGGTATCAAGCATGTGACACTACAGTTTTCTTTAGGAAAAACAAAGAAATATTTCTTTATTAGCTTGATTATTTTTAGTTATGCCCCATTTAAAAAAAATTTTATATTCCCCAGATGAAACAAAACAAACATTCAAATTACAACTTTCTGTGCAACTCCTATGGTAAGAATTAGCTCTTCAACTGCCTTCTTTGAGAAGATGGAGGACGCCGATGTGACAAAGAGTAGCTTACAAAAGAAAAACTATCTCAATGAAAGCTAAAAACTGTTACTAACATCACAGGTTTTTACTAAACAGTCGTCATCAGCTTACAGTATCTGCCTTGCCATTTCCCACAGTGCAGATTTGGAAAAAAAAATCCCCAATGATACACACACACCCAAATATGGTAAACCCAGAGGCTGTGTTTGCATGCTAGGACAGAAGGGGAATGCTACACAAGGCATGCACTCTACAAGAATTTGTGCTGCGCACTATGTTGTGTTTGCCTCTTTTAGATGTTTAAGAAACAGCAACATTCTAGAAGAAACAATTAAAAAGAAAGAATTATTTTCTTCTTGGACAGCAACATATTTTATTTGGGGTATGTGGGGTTTTTGCTTATTTCAATTACTGAAATGGTAGGATATGGTACTGAACAGACACTGGTTTGTAAACATAGTAGGTTTGCTTTAGTAGCTTGAGAATAATCTTAAAATACTCTTAACAGGAATCTACTAAAACATTAGTTTAGTAAAACCCGACAAAAACATGATTTCTGTAAACTACCAAATGCTTTACACGTATTTGCATGCTTCCTCATTAGTTCAATAAAATAACTTGGACTTAAAGAACATTTATGTTGCATCCAGTTACATCCAGGCAATTGTTTTGTCTTCAATCAACTGTAGAACTGAATTAGTGTTTACATTAAACACACCATTTTCCTTTGCTTCTCATAAGTAAAATGTTCACATTTAGCACTGAGAAAGCTTTAGTTCAGAACTTGCATGGTTTTGCCCTTCTTCCTGTAGTGTATTTCGGAGTATTACGAGCTACCATACTCTTCCTCTTTTTCTTGCAGTGCAGTATATGTCACTGCTTCTGTATAGACTCCTTTCACTCCATTATCAACCAGTTCTAGGAAGGTTTTAAATCTCAAACTCAGCTATCTCTGCTCTAAGTTCTAGATATAAACAAATGTTGCACAGTAGAGAAGATACATCACACATTCAGCTACTGTCCAATACACTCACACATCCTAGAGCAATAGGCTATACCTTCGCTATTACGTTTCCTAAAAATCTTTATTTTTTTTTTACCTTGTACTGGTCACTGGGAGCCAGTTTGTTCCAAGGTTCTGGATTATTTTTCTTGTCCCAGCTATTAAGAGAAATTTAAGATATGAGAACATAATAAGAGAATCACACTATCTTCAAAATAGATAAAATCTGTACGTGTGCTGTGGTTATTAGGATACGAAGCATCACCCACTCAAATAAGTTTCCTCAGAAGAAGAAACAATCCTTTGTCAGCAGTCTCTGTCATATGTTAAACAAACAGATCTCCAAAACAAGGAAATCTCCACATACTTGATGCCAGTGATATTGGAGAAAGATGCTAAGGCTTCCAGACACTTGAAAACCAAGGCAGTAAAGTTTAATATGCACAGCAAAAGGACTAGATGCCGTGAATTATTTTCTACATACCTGACATCTGGGTTAAACACTGCCAAACGCATGAGGTACAGGCCTGCGCCAATACCTCCGGATCCAATGATCAAAAACAAGGGGATCAACTGCAACAACAAAAAAATTACATGTCATGCCACAATATGACAAAATACTACTATTATATAGCATTTCCGACTACAGCAGTGACAAATCAAAGAAGAGCTCACACACTTTGAGCCATAACATAAAGCCCTCTAAAACCCTAACAGAAGCTCCATGTCCACTAGAGTTAGAGAGGAACTAGCAGCTACAAAGAGAGAAACATGAAAAAAAAATACTGCTACATGCAGAATAACCAAAGGTCCCATGGCAGCATGCTTCTGAGAAACAAAGAGCAGTCGCTCTGCTGCCCAAAACAGCCCCTATCATCCGTACCCCCGATCAGAGTCAGAAAATAGGACCCTAACAGAAGCTCCATGTCCACTAGAGTTAGAGAGGAACTAGCAGCTACAAAGAGAGAAACATGAAAAAAAAATACTGCTACATGCAGAATAACCAAAGGTCCCATGGCAGCATGCTTCTGAGAAACAAAGAGCAGTCGCTCTGCTGCCCAAAACAGCCCCTATCATCCGTACCCCCGATCAGAGTCAGAAAATAGGGGGGGGG